TGTCTCTGAGCACATACACACACAAGAGAGAAGGAAAAGAAAAATGTACGTAGAAAGGGAAGTAGCAGGGAAGGAACAAAGAAAAAAAGCAACAGAGAGGGGAGAAAGGAGAGGCAAGTAGGAGCAGAATGGAAAGGCAGGCAGGAAGGGGGCCAGGGAGCTCCAGTTCAGTCATTTGCTAGTCTCTGCTGTTTCATATACCTAAATGCTCTGACTCAGGCAGCCACACAAAACAAAGGGAAAATGATGCTACTAACTGCCAGCAGGTGATTGTGTAAGTGGAACTACTTGTACCTCTGGCTGTGGCTCTACAGCTGGAAAAAGGAAAGCAACATCCTTCTCCCTTGGAAAATGTTTGTCCAAGGCTTTTCCTTAGCAAAGACAGGCTCCTGAGCAATTGAGCCATTATTTCATCTTCTGTGATCAAAACTCCATTTGTCACTGGAGAGCTCTTCTCTTCAGTAGCCTGTACAGCCCTCAGTGCAGAATGCGCACTAGTAGAAAGGGGCATTCATCAATTAATAACTCAGCAATCTAGTAACTATTAGGGAAAGTGAATCTGATCACTGCCCTTTGCTGTTTCATTTAGTGAAATTTCTTGAATTAAGAATTTCTCTTCTAGGGGGGCCAGGGAGATGGCTCAGTAGAAGAATTTCTCTTCTCTGTTTTTTAACCATCTGGCCCACTTTCATCTCTGGTTACATTATACTTTTTCTTATTGACATCTCCTATAAGGTTTCCACCAGGCCTGTCATCCCACCAATGCTGTCATCCTAGCACTCTAAGAAGCTAAGTCAGGAGAATAACAAGTTCTACCTCAGCCAGGGCAACTTGGAAAGATACTGTCTCAAAATAAAAAATAATAAAAAAAAAGCTAGGAGTATATCTTGTGTGAAGGGAAAGTGTTCATTCCCCAGTAATGCCCCCCACTAAAAAAACCCAGCAAGGTGCCTAAATCTTGTGCAGAGATGCCCCAGGGAGTTTTAGCAAACTCCAAGGGCATGGCAGGATGTTTTAAAATGTCAAGAGAAATAGTTATCTGTTGGACACCATGCAAATAACTAGCTCAAGAGAACTCAGTTCCAACATCACATTGTAGTCCATTCCTTTCAAAAGCTTTGCAAAGCTAGGTTTTGGCTGCTGCTAAAGGTGGGGGGGGGGGGAAGCAGTACTGAGTAAAAATCAATGTAGCACAGAAGTGAAGGTGGCAGTGATAGGATTCCAAGATTTGACAAGATGTGTAGTGCCCGTTGGGAGCATAAAACCTAACTGAAACTCATGACAATTACTGAAAAATGAGCAAAAAATACTCATTTTTCTTTCAACTTCTGTTTTCTAGTACAAAAATACAGCTCTTAAGCAACAACTAAAATCAAAATTTTTAATGATTTGATATTCTCTTGTCATATTCTTTCAGTGATTCCCATTTAGAAACTATAGCACAAAAATACAGAAACAAGCTGCTATACAAGGCAAGGAGACTCATTTCTCTTTCACCAGTTTTCTTCACTGAATGAGCTGAGCTCACAGAAATCAAGACTTGTCTGAAAGTCAAGAGATGGGGGAACAGGAGTAGGATAGTATTCCCCAAATAAGGACACTTGTCATTTACAAAGGAATAAAAATTACTCAGAGTTTGCCTCAGAGCAGATACTCCCATAGAATTATTCTTGTAACAGAGAATGAGACAAGATGTCTGCGATAGAGCTCACTGAATCTTTTCTAAAAGGCTTTGTCTGAACAAAAGCGTTTGCTCTTTACCTCCATTTCATTGGTCTTGTCACCCTTTCCCCCTAAGAGTTCATCTGTCACTCTTCTTTCTTTCTTTCTTTTTTAATTTATTTTTCTTTCTGTACAGGGTCTTACTACAAGGTTCAGACTCCCTGGTTCTGGGATTACAGGCATGCGCAACCACGCCCGGACTCTCTTACCAGCTCAGCACACTTGGGGGCGTGACTGGTGGAACATGTGGTACTGGGGATAGAACCCCAGTCCCTACACTTGCCTAAGCAGGTGCTTAGTCCACTGAGCTATCTCGCAGGCCCTTTTCTGTCATTTTTCTGTTGAGATGCAGTCCTTCTTTTCATACAAACTGAAACAGTCCCAGTGGTCTTTATTTGATCTGAACATAAGAGAAGGAAACTAGCTGGCTGCAAAGGAACACCACCCACACTTAAAAATACTGCCACCTCTCCTCCCTCTGCCTGACAATAGAAAAGGCAAAACCATATCAAGCACTAGAACGCCAGTACCCTGCTCCACCATGTTAATTTCCTAGCACCTGTCAAAGATTGCTCTCAGGAAGCGCAGATCTTGAATTGGGAGTGTAATCTGTTGCTGCTTCTGATATCAACAGCACCAGCTTCAATTCAAGTGAATAAACTCAAGGGCACAAATGAAGCAAAAACAATCACTACTTTTAACCCAAATACAGTATCACGTTAAAAGAATGAGGCTGCTGCAATAATTCTAATGATTCTACTTTCACAGCTGTACATGGAGAAAAGGAGACAGTGAGAAGACCAGGAGCAGGAGATGAGAAAGGAGGGGCACAAAGTACAACAGGGCTTTTTCTAGCATCTTTTAAGTTCCAGAAGTGCCCACCCACCCACCACATCCTCTGGCCCGTGTCAGGAACACTCCACACATTGTATTAATATTGAAATTCTAAGAACGTGACTTTTTTCAAAATACTTAGTTCCTAAAATTGTTTGAAGTCAAAGAGAAAAAAAAACAAGATGTAGTAAAAGGAGCCTCTACATTCCTGTCATTTTTGGCCCAAAGTAAATTCAGAGGAAAAAAAAAAATCAACAGTTCACCAAGAACTGGTAGATTTTCAAGTCCTTATGAATGTGAAAAGTGTTATTTCAAATTCTAGGGCCAGAGAGATAGCTCATTGGCTTAAGTGCCTGCCAGGCAAGTACAAGGTCCTCAGTTATATTCCTGGAACTAAAAAAAAAAAAAAAAAGCAGGGGCAGGGGGACAAATTCTGTATTCATACTGGAACTACATTTGCACAGACCTTCTAGCAAGCAACAGCCAACACTCAGCACAAGGACATGCAGGGCAGGGCATAGGCACAGCACCCAGGATGCCCAGACAGCAGTGGAAGCAGGGAACAGGAGGGAGGCTCACCAGTCCTGTCCGGCTGGGCTTGCTGCTCACAGAGGAGGCCACCGAGCTCATGGAGCTGAGGGAGGAGGCAGATGGGCTGCGCTTTAGGCTGGCAGGCGTGGTGGCCATCACTCGTCGCACAGCGGCAGCCTTGGCTTTGGCTGGAGTGGTTGAAGGGAAACCAATCTTGGTCACTTTGTGGACAGGAGCAAATAAGCCATACTTGGGTTGACACTGAAAATACCTTAGAAAGGAACAGCAACAACAATAATGAAAAACAACATAATTACAAAAAGTAACAATGACAGAATGGCTCTGTCATAACCAAAGACTCTTACTTTGGGAGTTTCACCTAGAAGCTGGGTGCACACAGTTCGTGGCCTGCAGGTGGACACAGACCCTCAAGGGTGTTGCAGGAAACACACTGTATCTATGTGATACACAGAGAGGGCACTGCTTATCTGAAGCTTAGTTTTTATGTAAAGGGTATAAATAAATATTTCTATCATCTGATAAATGTACAGCAGAGGAATCCAGGAATATAGTGATTGAGATGAAGCCATGCTACGCAGGTTTCATTAGTGAGACTTTTCCTTAAAATAAAAAAAGGGAAGGGCTGGAGAGATAGCTCAGTGATATAAGAACATGCCTGGCAAGCG